ATATGAGGAAGGTATCTTTAAACCAGTAAATATATTAATTTGAGGCACTATCTATCTTTAAATCATTAAATATATAAATTTGAGGAAGGTATCTTTAAACCAGTAAATATATTAATTTGAGGCACTATCTATCTTTAAACCAGTAAATATATAAATTTGAGGAAGGTATCTTTAAACCAGTAAATATATAAATTTGAGGCACTATCTATCTTTAACCAGTATAAATATATAAATTTGATGAAGGTATCTTTAAACCATTAAATATATAAATTTGGGGAAGGTATCTTTAAACCATTAAATATATAAATTTGGGGAAGGTATCTTTAAACCAGTATAAATATATAAATTTGGGGAAGGTATCTTTAAACCAGTATATGTATGGAATTACAGGAACTACCTATCTTTAAACCAGTATAAATATATAAATTTGAGGAAGGTATCTTTAAACCAGTAAATATATAAATTTGAGTCACTATCTATCTTTAACCAGTATAAATATATAAATTTGATGAAGGTATCTTTAAACCATTAAATATATAAATTTGGGGAAGGTATCTTTAAACCATTAAATATATAAATTTGGGGAAGGTATCTTTAAACCAGTATAAATATATAAATTTGGGGAAGCTATCTTTAAACCAGTATATGTATGAAATTACAGGAACTACCTATCTTTAAACCAGTATAAATATATAAATTTGAGGAAGGTATCTTTAAACCAGTAAATATATAAATTTGAGGCACTATCTATCTTTAACCAGTATAAATATATAAATTTGAGGCACTATCTATCTTTAACCAGTATAAATATATAAATTTGGGGAAGGTATCTTTAAACCATTAAGTATATAAATTTGGGGAAGGTATCTTTAAACCATTAAATATATTAATATGAGGAAGGTATCTTTAAACCAGTAAATATATTAATTTGAGGCACTATCTATCTTTAAACCATTAAATATATAAATTTGATGAAGGTATCTTTAAACCAGTATAAATATATAAATTTGGGGAAGGTATCTTTAAACCAGTATATGTATGAATTACAGGAACTACCTATCTTTAAACCAGTATAAATATATAAATTTGAGGAAGGTATCTTTAAACCAGTAAATATATAAATTTGAGGCACTATCTATCTTTAACCAGTATAAATATATAAATTTGATGAAGGTATCTTTAAACCAGTATATATGTATGAAATTTGATCTGTCTGTTAATCTATTGGCAGCAGACAGCAGGTTTTGTGTACTGTACATCATAGATCTAATAGCATGCTTATCATGGCTAGTTCTTATAACATGGAATTAAAGTGGGATGGACTCGTTTAAAAAGGTAATTGCAAATTTGATTGTTTCCCAATGTGTATGTGATTAGAATGTTATGTTTTTCTTCTACTTCATGTGGCTAAATTTCAGTAAAGTTAGGATGAAAAGAAAAATTTAACTATATTTAAATCCTTTCATTTTGTTAATGTTCTCTGAAACTTGTGTTTTGTTATTTTGGAATTGAAGTAACTTGGAATTTAGGTGGGATGGACTTGTTTGAAAAGGTGAATAGTATTGTTATTAGTTCATGACAGGATTTATCAAAAGTTTAGTTATGTATTTAGTCTTTGATTCAATGTCCAATTATTCTTATAATGGTTAAAACACATATCACTTTTGGCACTGGATTTGACTTAATCTGTTTAGTAAGTCAAAAATTTGAAATCTCCTGAAATTATGTTGATATTTGTGTAAGCAGACAAATCATTAATGCCCTTAAGCACAAGTCTTGAAGCAATAATTTCTACTTGTCCAACTTCAGTAGGAACGCAGGCTGAAATAGGTCAGTTATCTGAAGATGCATTGTGTGAAACTCTGAGTAACAACATGAATCAAGTTCCGTTTCAATATTTCTAAGTAGAGAAATATATATATATAGAATGTCTGTATATAAGAACTGTTCTATTTATAGACTAGGATGTAAATATAGATGATATATATCTCTGATAACCTTGTATTCACCAGTAATTAACTGTATTCATTGGAATTTGTCTGCCATAAGTACCCTAGCAGGCAGGCTACTTTAGAAATGGGTGTAAGAATTCATATTACTTTGTGAAAATCCACATAGTTATTTCAATTTTTGTATAAACTTGTAAACCATGGTGGCGTCATCCTCCCCAGACTGGTGTACAAATAGTGGACAGACTGACTCAACTGTGGGCCAACTGTCAAAGATGACACATATTTTGGAGAAAAAAAAAAACTACCAAAATCTTTTTTTTTTTGAATTTGTTAAAAATGAGGTTTGGTTACAGTTGGGGTGCAAACTATATTTCCTCCGCCCTCCCTGTACCCTCACTAGCCCTGCCACTGCTGTAATTAACATATATTGTTAGTGTGGGGTCCGTGGGGATTGGGCCCTAGCAAAACCTTCTTCAGTTCAGCAGAGATTGGTTCATTTACAGTGTCTTTGTACAAGATCTAAAAGATCTAGATTTTGATACGTTTTTGGCACCTCAAAATGTCAGAAAGTTCTCTCGGCCTTTAATTCTTCAAATTTTCTGAGTATTCAAATTTTCTGAGTACAAAATCTGAGCCCCAGCACCAATTCATTCCTGGTAACGCAGCTTTATATACATTTGGATATTCATTTGATATTTAGAGTTTTACACCCTTTTAGCGGCTCCACATAGCTTAGAAGGTTTATTTGGTTAATGTGTTTGTCAACTGGCCTTATTTGTAGAAAGTCTGCATAACTACTTTGGTTTTATTGTTAAATTTGTCACTATGTATACAGTCATTCTGCTATGCAAATTCCTGATTCATTACTCATTCTACTCCTACACTCTTAGTAGATAATATTTTGATCTTGGCACTTAGTTCGTCAAAAATGAGGCTTGTTCATATTGAATAACACAATGTCAAAATCTTAACCTGTGATTTCTCCCAAAATTTTAATCATTAGCTCATTAAGATACAAAAATGTAAACAGACGGATTGCCACTGAAGGGTATTTATGAGCACCTGCGGCTTTTATCATGAAAAGGTCTATAGAGCAGAGTGTAACAGTGTTGACCAATAAGGAACATAAACTCCTTTCATTAGTGAGGGGTTTTTAACCTGGAGTAATTTTCAAAATTTTGGGGGTAGTGAAGCGCTGTGTAGTCTAGCATAAATTTTTCGACTTGGTTCTTTTCATTAAAGGTCCAGGGTTCAATCCCGACATAGGTCGAGATAATACCTTCGGATTTTTCGACTCGGTTTCCCCCTGTCAGTGATGCAGGTAAGAGGGGCTGACATGGAAAAAGCGTCTAGTCGTTCGGATGGGACAATAAACTGAGGCCCCGTGTGCTACAGGCTATGCACATTAAAGATCCTTCGACAGTTGGAAATCGAAAAAGAGCAGGCTAATGCTGCTGTCCTGGCCAAATTTCCCTCATTGCACTCTTCATGGCGTTGCCCGTCTTCATTAGCCCACATGGTGCAGAAGAGCAGTACTCCATTCATTTCATTTTCATTTTTTCTTTTCAGTAAGGCTTTTTTATTCTCCAACATGAAAATGAATATCACGAAATAGTTTGATCTATAGGGGGAAGGGGGGCAATGCAATCTATCAACGATCAATGGGTATTAGAAAGTAAAAAGTTGAAGAGCCCTGCTTTTGTCTCACATGCCAAAAGTAGGATGTAAGATTTCTTTAATTCCATTGATGGAAGACGGTACAGAACTGTAGGAATATTATGTTTTATGATTCCTCATCAACCATGGTTGACTTGAGATAACCTTGTGTGTATTTACCTATAGACACACAGAAAGTTGGCACAAATACCATCTATTATAAGCTTGTTTGTATTTCTGTCTACTTGATTAAAGAGATTGTTAAGAGGTTTCTAAATTTTTTATGTGTATCAGGGACACTGATAGCATAGATTTGCACCATTCTGATTTGCAGTGTGTTAATTTTTTCTCTTTCTATCAGATGTAAAAGAACAAGGTGAATTCGACAAAGAAAAGACACCAACTCCACAAGAAACTGAGGAGGATCTGTCAGTTAAAGAAACTACACCAGTACCAGAAGAAAAACCACAAGAATTAAAAGAGGAACCCACACAAGAGCCCAAACAAGAATCTAAACCTCAGGAAGAACCAACACTTGAGCTGAAGGAAAAACCTCAAAAGGGACATAAACCTGAAGAGGAACCTAAGCCAGAGCCCGAGGAGGAACTGAAACCAGAGCCCAAAGAGGCGCCTAAGCCAGAGCCAAAAGAGGAACCTAAGCCAGAGCCTAAGGAAGAGCCCAAACCAGAGCCTAAGGAAGAGCCCAAACCAGAGCCAAAAAAAGAACCCAAGCCAGAGCCAAAAGAGGAACCCAAACCAGAGTCCAAGGAGGAACCAAAACCAGAGCCCAAAAAGGAACCCAAACCAGAGCCGAAGGAAGAGCCCAAAAAGCAACCCAAACCAGAGCCCAAGGAAGAATCCAAACCAGAGCCCAAGGAAGAACCCAAACCAGAGCCAAAGGAAGAATCCAAACCAGAGCCTAAGGAAGAACCCAAACCAGAGCCCAAAAAGGAACCCAAACCACAGCCCAAGGAAGAATCCAAACCAGAGCCCAAGGAAGAACCCAAACCAGAGCAAAAAGAGGAACCTAAACCAGAACCCAAACCAGAGCCCAAAGAGGAACCTAAACCAGAGCCCAAAGAGGAACCCAAACCAGAGCCCAAGGAGGAGCCCAAACCAGAGCCCAAAGAGGAATCTAAACCTCAGGAGGAACTTAAACCTAAGGAAGAACCTAAACCTAAAGAAGAACCAAAAGAAGAACCCAAAGAAGAACCCAAGCCTAAAGAAGAACCAAAACCTGACGAAGAGCCCAAACAAGAAGAAGTTAAAGAAGAGACCAGAAGTAACGAAACTGAACCTCAACCTACAACAGAACTTGCTGCTGAAGCCACAGATCTTCCTGTTGTTGAAGGAGAAGACCTATCCTACATACCAGAAGAACAAGTAAAGAATCAGGCTCCTATATTTGTGGACAAGATGAAGGACTGTGATATAGAGGAAGGTCGTTTGGCCAGATTTGATTGTCGAGTTTGTGCCTTCCCTGTTCCAGAAATAACATGGTGAGTAGCAGGGTTCAATTTATGCTGTATCACATCACAGTTTGCGATTCTAAATGACCCCTTTTGCGATCCAATATTTCCTTTGATTTGCCAAAAATTCATTTCAAATATTCTAAATTGCTACCAAATTTTTAAGAAATGCAAAGGAAAGATTAACTTGATTAGTCAAAACTAGAAATTGGTGTGATAAATTGCTGAAATCCATTTCTTTATGGTTCTATTGCCTGCTCATGGAACATTGAGATAAACTTAGCTTCGGCTTGGTTTTAATTTTAAACTTGTATCTTTGTAAAGATGAATTCCATATGACAAACTGTGCCCTAGGATTTACAACTTCAGAAGGACACTCTTATCAAAATTGACCCCAAAACAACCAATTGAATATTTTATTTATAGGGAAAAAGATGGCAAAGTTGTGGAGGAAGACAACCATTTTAAACTTCTCCATGAGAAAGATGAGATTTTTTCATTGTTGATTAAGGATTGTACTTTGAGTGATAGTGGAAGATATAGATGCTGGGCTCGTAATGAGTATGGTGAGGCTTACACTGAATCCTTACTCAATGTCATTGGTAAGTAAACTTTTCAAATTGAGGGAATCCTGCTCATGAGACCACCTTTATTAAGCCATCACCTTTAATGAGTCAATTAAACCACCATGACAGTTCTCCTTATCTCCTCTTATGTTTTCACATAGCCTATAGGGGAGACCCTTGAGTGGTCTCTTAATGCAGTTTCTACTGTAGGCTAAAATTTTGCACTTAGGAGAGTGTGGGGCTAGAGAATTTGCTGAAATAAATATCAATGTCACTTCCTGATTGGTTTAGGCTTAAAGCTTTCTGTTAGAGGTGCTCTCACCGGCCTTTTGTGAAAAAAGACGAAAATGAAAAAAAAAATCCTTACTAGCAAGACAATTCCGTTAATCAAAATCCAAAGAATGGTAAAATCGAGAGTATAAGTTGTGTAGTAATTGACTCCTCCAAAGAGAAGTTTCATCAGGTGTTTCAAAAACAGTAAGCATGGTCTTCTTTGTGTGTGACACCCACCACTACAGTATAGGTCAATATCATGAGAATATTAAACTCTGTGGTTGAATGGTACCAATGCTATAACTATTTATTTGGTATTTAGCTCTAGATAACTTACTTGAAGAAGGTGAAGTCAAACCAGCCTTTACTACCAGGTTCTACGATGTTGAAGTAACAGAAGGTGTCCCTGCTGAATTTGTTTGTATGGTGAGTTCTTATTGTAAATTTTTATTATTGTGTAAAAGCAATACATAAAATTTGACTGCTTCACTGTCCAACATAGAACATGTTTTTCAAGCCTGTCAACTTCTGAATATTATGTCTAGGAAAACCGTGGTCTGTAACCGTGGTCTGTTATCAGCAATTAGTTGTTGTAGCATACTTGGATAACTTAACATGAAAGAAAGTAGGTGGAGCTTAGTTATGTTACAACCAGTCCATTTTGATGTTCTTGCATGGCTTGTTTAAATATGTAAGAACCGTGGTATATATACTGCTTAATGTGACTCAGGTGAAACATAAAGTAATAGAGTCGCAAAGCTTAACCAAAGTCAAATGTCACTGTCAATGATAAGCACACAAAAAGGCACAATCGAATTCAAAATAGAACAAAAATTTGGTTTGCCATTTAATCATCTGTATTTCAGATTAAGGGAGATCCATCACCAGATGTGAAATGGTTCTTGAATGGTGAGCAACTGAAACCAGCTGAAGACATTTTAATCCGAAAAGAAGATGACGGACATCAGTTATTGGCATTCCGTAATGTACGCTTGGACCAAGCAGGGGAAATTACTTGTAAATTGAAGAATGATCTAGGGGAAGCAACATGTGTAGCTCAGTTAGTTGTGATGGAAGATCCCAGACGTCATGGACCAGAAGTGAAGCCACCAAAGTTCATCAAGAAGCCAGTAGATACAGAAGTGGATATGGGAGGGGATGTGAAGTTAGAGTGTACTGTAGCTGGGGAACCAGAACCTGATGTTACTTGGTTCTTTGAGGACAGAGAATTATTTGTAAGTTTTGTGATTTTCATTTTTATTCAATTGAGTGAATTCTTCTGCAAATCACTCATTAACCTAATGTTTTCTAGTTTTTTTTAAGAGAGAGTCCAATTTATATGTATATTTTGTTGATAAGCCTAACAGTCTAATTAAAATTAGACCAAACTTTCTTAAATGTTGTCAAAATAATATTTGAACTAATCTGATAAATATCACAAAGTGCCAGCTCGAGAAGTTAGAACTTTGGTTAAAGCAGACATCATCTATTTAGGTCAACGGGTTATTTTGACGATTGTTTAAGAGGCCTGCCTTTAGATCCTAACTGAAGTGGCTATATTAAAAAAAAAAAAAAAACAGAACGAAAGTTTGGTCTAACTTTAAGTAGACTGCACAGGTGTAGAACTTTAAAACTAGGATGTAAAACGCTATTTTATTTGACTTCAGGAATCCCACAGACGTATAATTCGTAAGAGTGGTAACAACCATGTTTTGAAGTTAAGAAACATGGCTGCCATGAATGCTGGGAAATACACCATAAGAGCTGTCAATATGGCTGGGGAAGCTAGCTGTACCTTTAAACTCGGTGTTAATGAAGTAGAGGAGATTCCAGATAGACCCAGGTCAGCTTAGCAAGGATTTTATTATCATATTTTAGTGCTTTTGACAACCCTACCTGCTTAATCTGGCTGTATTTGCCAGTCATGTCTGATAAGAGCAATGGCCAGATGATTTAGACAAGTTGAGCGTGTGGTCTTGAAGACAGTTATATATTAAAGGGATAGATTCACCATTAGTTTGACCAATCATATCCTAGTTTCAAAAACAGAATTTTTAGCTAATCTAATCACTAATAGTGTTCAAAGTTGATGTTTTAGGCTTCCTATCTATTTTTGTCCAGAATTATCTGTGTTTTAAATTTGAAAAGACAACACATCTTTTCTTGAGACTCTGCCATATATAGAAAAGACATATATAGAAACAGAAAGTGAAATTCTTAGTTTGAGGTATTTTTAAGGAAGTATGCAATTTTGGTTCATTTACAGTACTTCTGAAGACTATTTACCGAAATCAACCCTTGAAAATGGTGAATCTGTCCCTTTAAATGATATTTGTCATTTGACCTTGTTTGTTTGACGGAATCTGCTTAATTTCCTGTTTTGATAATTGATCTCTCTTCATGTTACAGTCCCAAGCGTGTAGTGGTACCAGAGACCAAATATGGTAGTGCTCCGTCATTTGCTAGTCGTATATCAGATGCCAGATCTCTAAAGGGAGGTAAAGTTCGTTTCGGATGTAGGACTATGGGTATACCTCAACCAGAAATACAATGGTAAGAACAAAACCTTTATGATTGTGGTTTATGGTGGGAATATGTGTGTCCTCATGGGATGATAACTCTTGTATTAAACAGATAGTAAAGAGGTTTTTCTAAATTTTGTATGTGTATGAGGGACACTGATAACATCAATTTGCACCATTCTAATTTTCAATCAGACATCTGTGGGTTTTGCAATTCCACTAAAACTAACTAACATCACTAATTGCAAAGAATCTTATATGATAAAGCATATTTGGCAATTAGTGATGTCATCAGACAGTTAGTGTCGATCGCTTAAGATATATGTCAAGATATGTCAACCGGGTTTCCCCCTGTCACTGCTGCATGTTGGAGGAGCTGACATGGAAAAAGCATCTAGTCACTCGGATGGGACCATGTGCTACAGACTGAGCACTTTAAAGATCCTAGACAGTTGGAAATCGTAAAAGAGCAGGCTTATGTCGCTGTCCTGGTAAGATATCCCTCATTGCACCCTGCATGGCGTTGCCCGTCTTCATTAGCCCAATTAGAACGTAAAACTTCATTTCATTTCGTTTGTTTAATTTTCTGTTTGTAAAATCCAGGTGTAAAGATGGACGACCATTAACCTCTACTGACCATGTCCAGATTGGACGTGATGCTACAGGTTTCTATTTGACTGTATCTGACGTAGCTCCAGAAGATGAAGGAGAATACAGCTGCACCATTAGAAATGACTCTGGTAAAGCTAGCTGTTCTGCCAGATTACAAATTGGAGGTATGGAGAGAAATATTATTACAAAACCTACACCCCTTATCAATAAGTAAATGCGACTGTGGGTTAATTGATCAAAATAGCTTTGTTTGAGGTGATGCACAAAGGGCTGTTCATCACCTATTCCCATTTTGAACTTGTGTTCATTTTTACAAAACAAACAATAAAAGTAGCTGCATATAAGCCTGTTGATTGGATAGTTTGAAAATCATGTATTTTTATTTCAGTTCCTAATACAAGAATTTCCTACTAAAGTGAAACAGATAAAAGTATATGACAGACATCTCGAAAGACAAGAATTACCTAGGCAATGTTGATCTCTGCATTGACCTCTAGATTGATCTCTACATTGACCTCTAGATTGATCTCTACATTGTTTTCTATATTGATCTCTATATTGATCTCTATATTGATCTCTATATTGATCTCTATATTGATCTCTATATTGATCCCTGGATTGATCTTTACATTGACCTCTAGATTGACCTCTACATTGTTTTCTACATTGACCTCTAGATTGATCTCTACATTGATCTCTACATTGACCTCTACATTGATCTCAATATTGATCTCTAGATTGACCTCTAGATTGACCTCTACATTGATTTCTACATTGATTTCTATATTGATCTCTATATTGATCTCTATATTGTTTTCTATATTGATCTCAATATTGATCTCTAGATTGACCTCTAGATTGACCTCTAGATTGATCTCTACATTGATTTCTATATTGATCTCTAAATTGATCTCTACATTGATCTCTAAATTGATCTCTAGATTGACCTCGAGATTGATCTCCACATTGATCTCAAACACAGTCTTGGGCACAGGATCATCAACCTTATAGTGTATGTAATGTGATTATATTGATTTTTATTTTTTTTTTAGATCCACAACCTACCCTGACATATCAATATATGCCTAAAGATAGGAAGAAATTCTCACCTAGTTTCGAGACAGTTGACACTGCACCACCTGTCAGAAGAACATTCGTAGAACTTGCTCCTGATGGTAAGGCTACTATTATTGGTACAAATGATTGTTCTGATATGCATATGACTGTGCATACTCAAAACTTTGCTTTCCTTTTATGGGCAGAATTGCTCAAAACACAGAGTTCATCTGTCATCATGTTTTCTTAGTTATGAATTATCATGTCTATTACAGAGAAAGTACCTACAATGCCAATCGGTAAACCATCGTTACTGGAAGTGAAGGCTGACGGTGCTAAGTTGTCATGGTTACCAGCTTATACATCTGGATTACCAGACAATGCTGGACCATGTTCCTATACAGTAGAAGCTCGTGAGGTTCCAGGAACATACTGGTCCAAACTGGGAACTGATATTTACGGAACAACCTATCTGGCTCGGCAGCTCAGACCAGATAAAGAGTACCAGTTCAGAGTTCGTGCTGAAAATAGATTTGGAAGTAGTGAACCCAGTCCGGTGGCTACTCTTGCCAAACGTGAAGGTAGGAAAATGGATTGCTGTGATAGCTTTAAGCTTGTTCTACTTCTAGCTCCAATCAGCTCTTCAATTGTTGCTTCTGCAATCCTTTGGCTGTCATCTTGTTATTAAGGGACTTTCAAAATAAATTGGGTAAAAATGTAAGATGGTTACAGGTGTGGGCTTGAATTAAATGCTTTTCAGGATGAATGGCAATTTTTAGCTTTATTCTTTTCCACGACTGTGTGCCATTTCTTTTGAATGCTTATTAATGGTCTTCATTGATCAAGCATAGGTTGAATAAAAACTTAGATTAGTTTAGTGTTAAATGTACCCTTGGTGTGGTACACATCTTGAATCTTTTGATTTTGAATGAGGCCTAGAGCGATATGTAACCATGGGGGTCAAGATCTGCTACTTTTGAACTTTGCTTTAAGATTTCTGTTTTGTTTTCTTTGTTTTGCTCTACCAGTTATGCATCTGCTTAAAATATTAGCTTTGCTGTAGGATGAACTCGAAGATGAAGCGGTATTGCTTGCTAAATGCTTATATTGTCCAAATAGTGCCTATCCCTTAAATACCTTCTTTACTTCAAGACCTTACATAAATCAACTTAACATCCCTTTTGGAGAGTCTACACAGCTAATAAGATAAAGCTGCACTCAAAAAAAGTTGCATAACATCCTTTCTAATTACCATGAATTTCTCATTTGAAACTTTAATGAAGATTTTCATTATTTTTAAAGGGATTGTAAAGAGTTTTTTCCTAAAATTTTTATATGTATCAGGGACACTGATTGCATCAGTGTGCATCATTCAAATTTTCAATCCGACGTCTGTGGTTCCTGCAATTGTACTAAAATTAAGTGTTTGATGACGTCACAAATTGCAAAATATACTTATTAGCACATTGGCATTTCTCTTCATAATGGAATTGCAGGAACCACATACGTCTGATAGAATATTTAAATGGTGTAAATTGATGCTATCAGTGTCCCTGATACACATATAAAATTTTGAAAACCTCTTTACAATCTCTTTAAGTCAAAATTATTATTGATTTCTTACATAAATCCTGAGTAATACTGAGTATGTGTGGTCTTAAAAACTTTTCCCAATATTGTTGTAATGTGGTTGAGAATTGTAGTGTTTTTATTTTGTGATTTTTTCAGCTGAGAAACTCCTTCATAGATACACAGGTAGTAATAGATAAGTAAAGTAGGTCAATGATCTGTATGCACATGCATTAGGGCAATCTGAACTGTCAATCAAATTTAGATACACCCTTTTTTAACTGATTTTGCTTGTTAAAAATCTTGATGACATTTTTTTAATCAAGTGATGTAAGAATGTTAGAGAAAATACATTCTTTATCTAAATTCAGCTCCAACATTCAGCTTTAAATCAGTTACAAAAATCAAAAAAGTGAATTTTATTTGTATCTTTGTTTTTTTCTTATTTATCAATCTGAAAACATCCAAAGGATATAGTTCAGGTTCATTTTCGATCTAATAATTTCATAATTTGTGCCAATATATTGAAATCATGTACATAAACATCATTGACATACTATGCCACAACAATTCTGTATTATATTCAGCATGTTTCCTTATTCCGTTGCTCAATGTAAACATGTTTTCTGAAAACTTTAATCATAATAAGTGTAGAATTTGGCAGTATTAAATTCTACACATATGACATATTGTTTTGTTAAAGGGATTGTAAAGAGGTTTTCTAAATTTTGCATTTGTATCAATTGATAGCATCAATTGGGACCATTCTAAATTTCAATCAGACGTCTGTGGTTCTTGAAATTCCACTAAAACTAAGTGTTTGATGACATCACTAATCGCAAAGGCCCTTCTGTGATAAAGCAGATTTTGCAATTAGTGACATCATCGAGCACTTAGTTTTAGTGGATTGAGAGAACCACAGATGTCTGATTGAAAATTGGAATGGTATAAATTGAAGCTATCAGTGTCCCTGATACACATAAAAAAAACCTCTTTACAATCCCTTTTACAATTCTGAGAGACCAGCACCTGGGGTGAATTGTTGTTTTGATCATTTACACTCTACACAATTCACCCACTTTTCATCAGCAGGGACTTTTCTTGGGAGAACCCTCTCAGACACTCCCCGAAAGGCTTGGAACAATGAAACTTCACAGAGTTGCCGCAATTTTTTAGTCTCAACAATTGTCCCCTATTGAGTCATTCTGCTCCATATTTGTACCCTAAGTTACTGCTCATTCATATCATAACTTAACAAACAGCACTTTCACTAACTAATTATATTTTCTGTTCTTTATTTCGTTAATTTACATTGTTGGCAAAAATATATTTATTTCAAATATTAACACCATTATCAAGATCTTATGAAGTACAGTATTCTGATTGGTTGATATCAGATTGATATTGATTTACAAATAAGAGTAAAATATGAATCATTTTAAGTTATCTTTTAGAATCTGGCCCCAGTTTAATACCTCATTCAATACTTCTCGTGATTACGGTGTTCACAGGGTCAATTTCATTGTCGATGATATTCAAAGCCATTAATAAAGAGCTTGGAATTTAAAACTTACATATATTACTGCCAGTCTGCCAGTTACATATCCTTGTAGTCCATTTTAGATATTGCCCATACAGTTTCAACTTTTGCTCGCAAGTTTCGTGAAAGCCATAAACACCATTTTCATGGTAGTTATTGAATGCAGCATAAAATTCTTGATTTTAATTTTTTTTTTTAATGAATTTATTGGGTTACTTTGTACACAGAATTTGTTGATTGTTGTCTGCTTTCTAAACCCTTTTTATTTATTTTTTTCTACAGAAACACCAGAAATAAAAGAAATGTTAGCTAGGCTCAGAGATGGTAAGTAATAATTTACGAATTGTTGTCTATTAATTTGTGGCTTAGTTACATTCTTGCTGGCATACCATTGAAGCTCTGGGTTTTGTCTAACAAACCATAAAACCCATCCCCTTTTCACTTATACACGGAGGAGGTGCATAATATGAAGTAGGAGGTGCATAATATAAAGCCGAAGGTGCACAGTATAAAGTAGGAGGTGCGTTATATAAAGTAGGAGGTGCACAGTATAATGAAGGAGGTGCGTTATATAAAGTAGGAGGTGCATAATATAAAGTAGAAGGCGCATAGTGTAAAGCCGGAGGTGCATAGCATAAAGTAGGAGGTGCATAGTATAAACTAAGAGGTGCACAATATTAAGTAAGGTTTGCATAACATATACAATCGTGACAGCTTTGCCTATCTTCACAAGATGACCCAAGATGCAGATCATATGATCTTTATCTTCTAGCTCCACCAGTGTTACCAACCACCTCTCCAATAATCACAGACATGGGTGCCGAGAACGTTCGGTTGGCTTGGAAACCGGTAGAACTTCCCACAAAGACCTATTACCAACCAGATGTGACGTACAGTATTGAGGCCCAGAGACTTCCTAATGAAGAGTGGGTCCCCTTAGCTAGCCGAGTCCCAGATACCAGCTATTACTTGTCCGACCTCGGAACAGACAGAGATTACAACATACGAGTCCGTGCTGAAAACCAATATGGCCGCAGTGCTCCAACTCA